TGATGTATTCAGAGAAAGGTCAGGGTATTAAAGATGGAGTCGAATTACTACGATGCTTGATTTATCTCAAATACCATAATATTTCATTCAAAATTTGTGTTAAGAGACAAATGGACACTTTTCGTTGTCTTAAAAGAGTTTTATCATTATCATATGACAACTACGTTAAACGTGGCTTCCCTTAAGTGGATTTCAATTTACAAAATCTCAAGACTTCAAGAAAGAAACTAAATTTACGCTTCAAATTAATCACACAGGACCCGCTACAAAAACAGGCGCATATTTATAGGACAAAAATTTATTCAAGTCAATTCAGCCCGTTACTCTATGAGAAAAATAAAATGATAAACGCTTTTTCACCTTTATATAAGTAAGGATATTTTCGAACGCCGTCTTAAAGACAATGTAAAGCATAAAAGAGGATCACAAGAAAACGAATTCTATATCCTGACCCCACTATGGAAGACGCTATACTATTTTATTCGGCTACAAAAAATCGCGTAACCTGAGAGCAAATACGAAAAATATGATCGTGACGTCCATAAACGCAATCAAATATCGTCTCTCATGATATAATTCGAGTTTGACGACTAACGAGATGAACGAACAAAAACAATGTAAACTCATAAAATGTACGCAACAAGCTGTGTACTTATAAAAACACGAAGGTGTTTTTAACACTATTCTAATTAAATTGTATTAAAGATATTGCTAAATTATTTAAATTCAATAATAATACGATTGCGTAACATTTCATGTACTATGTTCGACTTATTCTTGTTAGGCTTTTCCTTGTCATAGGAAATTATAAAAGAACATAATTATCTTTTTCGCTGTTAACATATTTTCCCAAGAAACAAATGTGACTTAATTATACTCTCTTAACAATACTGTATTAAAAATAATACTGTATAAACAATGCTAAACAAAACCATATCACATGTATCAAATTAAGTTTATATAATATTTTTATACAATAGCTACATACATAGCACATTAACTCTTAAGGTAACATTAAATAACGAAATGCTTTGAAACAAACTGTTTTTAAAAGCGATATCCCAACGTCGATGAACGCGAACTGAAATAAAACCCATCAAAACAAATAGTAAATAATCGCAGGGACGCGGCGCTGTGGAAACGGGGATTCTTGCTCTTAACTTATTCCATCGCGAGCTCGCGTCATTTGCTTTCATTATGTTTAATTTCTCGTTCGGTGCGGTTCCTTCATGTCTCGTCGGATTTTTCTCCGAAGACAGTCGGCATTATTAGATTGTGCACAGTCTGCGGCCCCGTTAGCGCCGTCTGGTGGCCGCATACATAAGAATGTATGATTTGCACAGATTAAATACGCGTCTGCTGGGAATCGACGATTTCAATATTGGAAAAGAATAGTTAAGAGGATTTTCTGCCATATTATTACTCTTGTCTAGAGTAATCAGTTGTAATTCTGTATGAGTTATCTTTTGATGTCTCCGTTTTCGCGGTTACCAACTGACTTCATAAAGGAGGAGTATATTAACTTATTTGCATGTCTCTTTTATGTTTGGCAACTCAGAACTACATCATTTATGAACCGATTTGAAAAACACTTTTTGCATCGGATTCGGTTTAGCTCCGCCTTGGTCCCGTATTAATATCATTGGTATTATGTCTTGGAATCTGGAGGATCAGAAAACATCTTAAAATCAAATGAAAATTTAATAATGCGTGATATTCGACGTCGGTTGTGTTTTTGGTTACTATGAATGTTTTAATTATATGGTTCAAACTTTTAGGCCGCAGGTTGTGGGCTCAAGACTCTCGACACAAATATAAGTATGGTCAATACGTTGTTTCTGTCGTCTATTTTAAATTCATACCTATTTGTAAAAATCTTTTGTAACTATATTGTATTATCTAGATTTTTCTCCACTCCTGCTCTATCGTGTTAAAAATTATGGATGAATAATTTCCATGAAAAGTGCCGTGTAACTCAATCGATTTTAATGAACTGTATGCTGTATTTAAGTTTATTTTAATAGTTTTGTCCAAACATAAAAATGCCGTAAATGTTGTTTATGTATTATTAATAATCAATAATTAACAATTATTTTCGGAAACAGGAAGTGTCAAGTTTCAGATAAAATTAGCTTCGTTAATGGTGGATGGCGATTTCTTATTTCGCTGTTACAGAGAAAAGAAAAGTGGGCTTAATATTTATGCTTGATCTTAAAGGTGACTTTAAACTACTATTAGTAAATAATAAAGTACTATTTATAAACTTATGCAACATAACAAAAGTAGTCGGCATTAGACTCGTTTGTTTAGCATTTAGTAGAGTAGTTTTCGTAAGTAATCTCCAATGGGTAATGGTATTTGGGGTCGTGATTTAAAGTTTGGGTTGAAACCCCATTGGCGTAGACAAGATTTTCTTTGATTTCCTAATGACAAGAAGTGAATTATTCACTTCTTGTCATTAGGAAATCAAAGAAATCTATGTACGCCAAGTTCATAGCTAGTTAGGTTCAGATTTTACAGTTTACATTATACGGTCTTAAACAAAACAACGATTAATATGGTTACTAAGAAACTGATAACCATATTTAAATATACGAATAGATGAATATGCCCACTATCAAAACTCAATTTTCATCACACAATATTATTACAGTAGTGGATCGAATGCCCTATGGCGCAAAAGACAGACAGAGTCACACAACATTTTCGACGACACAGAATACATAGACCATCAGAACGAGCATAATAAGGACGCTCCAAGAAACCTAAGGTCAGATGTCAGAAGCCAGTAGTCTGTAATTATTTAAATTGTTTCGCGAAAGACGACAAAGGGGTACATTCTTGAAAGTGACATGTTCGCGATTTCTATTAAGCAGTAACAAAGCGTCAAATAATTTATTGCTTTTCTGTAATTATGTCCTTATTTCGAAGTCTTAGAGTTCATAACATGATGCATTGAAGGATCCAGAAGCTAGACGCGTGGGATTTAAATTGGCTTGTCTCGTACGAAATTACATTTGACAATTGCGGTCCGATAACAGACTTCTTCAGGAAATTTAGCGACTCTGTTTCGATGATGAAGTTTAACCATTCTGATCGTTAAGAAGATGTTTCCGATCACTTTAGAGAATTTAACCATCTTTTTGGCAACTCAAAAGACATTTGAAAGCTGATTAGTTTTCACCGTGATCAGTGTTTCAGAAACCAGGCAAACTCTTTTGTTTAATTTCGTCAAGACGTGCGTTTGTTTAAAATTTTACCTTGGAGTAAATAGCCTTACGTCTTCTACCCATAATTATATATAGTATACTTATCGTCAGGGGACCCGTGTTTTAGAGTCCGGTAGCAGTCTTCGCTTTTGCATAAATGGGCATGTCTGTCCAGGGAAGTATCATGACCTCATGGAAGACCGGCATGATGTAGAAGTTTTATACTTCTGCGTTTCGTCTGTGCCCGTTTCGTGCTCAATATCACGTAATCCGCCAGATCACTTGCTACCTTTTGACATAAAAAAGAACAAACATCATGTCATACTTTTTGTAACACATAATCGGTATGTTTAACGCTCATTAAACAAAAAACCCTAAAATTAATTCATCCGTCTATCAGCGCCCATCAAAGACGCTGACAATAGTGTCGGTAATGCCCATAATATGGGAAACGTCCGCAGTTGAAATGAAACCGGCCAAATCATGCCTTAATGTAGCTTTAATTCGCTCGGACGTGTGTAATGCTCACGTGTCGATCATCGCTCGTCGCTCGAAACTCGGCAAATTGCTCACAAAATGCTGGGAGTTCCATTGTTCCTACCGCATTTAGGCGGATAAAAAAATGTAAGGAAACCGTTTAATGGCCTACACATTACCTGCTTGGAATTATACACGAAACCCTCTGATATCGATCTGTGACGACACGTTTCTTCACCGTCCCATTTTATTAATAATTTTTTACTTTAATGTTATCGCTATACTGTTTAAATGCAAGCGTTTTGATTAGAAATTGGTTGTTGTTGCATTCTACATAAGAGAATTGGTTCTGACCTATTTTTCCTAGTTCATAATTAATGTCATGGTGTGCTGTCAAACATTTCACTGAAAAATTATATGCCTTTTGTACCGAAAATATGAAAAATTAAGTAACAAATGGTCAATTTAAAACTATTTATTTCGCAATACCGCCATCTATGAGATATTTAATGAGTTAAAAGAAGGGAATACTTTTGTTAGCAGACTAGTTAATCCAAAGGGTGGCTACGTTAGGATAAGGTTTGAATAATGCTCACTAGATGTCCCTTACATGTAAATGGGTATTTTTAATTTGACCGTCATAATGAAACTAATCAAATAATTCGTTACATAATAATCCTAAATGCCTAATGTTATAATACCATGCACCAAAAAGGTTAACACTCAGCGTTAGATTCACGAAGTTACCAAAACCTTTCATGTATTATCATAATAAACAGCGCCTAACTATTTTTTCATTAATAAGTCAATGGGGCCGCGTGGTGGACTATGCCCTGATACCCTCTGTACAGAGGAGGCCTAGCAGTGAGACATGTATGGGCTGTTACTGTTACTTTTATATTAATCATTACATAAAACGTGCTAATGTGAAAATGTGTTTTCATAAGTCACAGCAAATTTTGCGAACACAAATCTGAAAAGTATCGAGTTATCTACAAACCACCATAAAACAACTAACTACTTTGAACCGTTTCGACCTTCATGTTATCAGCGCAAAGTCGTTATCTCGATAAAAGCTTTCTGTATAATGGACTACTGTACATGTTATCTCAAGAGCTTTCACGAAAATATTCATTTTGTTATGGACGTTTAAGCTTCAGTATTAAGCTTTCCAGTCTGTGCGATATCGCATCGAATCACAACCAGGTTCGTGTTTTAAGGCATACGAAATCGAAATAGTAACATGAAATGTCCAGAATTCATTTGCAAAGGGTCCGATTTGCTTTTGTGAATACTAAAACCGGACTTGACGCGATGTTTGAGGGTTACGATACTGGAGACACGAATTCAAGATTCTGGTCTAATTGGACTACAAATTATTTAAACGATGTAAGTGCTAAGACTTATTTTATCATCACAGAAAATCCTGCGTAGTTATTATGTTTTTTTCATTTCGATTTTATTTTAAGCCACAATTACCAATTTAATTTGTAGTTCTCGTTATATTTTTTTCTCCCTTCAGTTTTGTTAATAGCAATGAGTATTCACGATGTAACTATACACCTATCTGGCATCTCTGGCTCTCAAGATACAAGCACTGCTTAGTTTGGGATCCATTCTTAATGTTTTGTAGTTTGATGTTAGTTCCAACATTTTCTATTAATGTTCATTACTATTTTCTTTTTTTTAACACGTTTTGTAACTTACGTCCGTATTTACTTAGATAACTAAATTAATAAATTTAATTTTTATATAATTTTTATGTGATTTTATTGTTGATAACCTTTACATATAAAAATATATTTAGTTTTGTTTTAATACACGACGTACGTCAAAAAAAAATGTCTTAGAATAAATTGTGAAATTTTGCGCTGTGGCTTATAAAGAATTCTGATAAAACCAAAAACATTTTTATAAATCGAGTATATAGTCTGTTTCACAGAGTTTGTATAATATAATGAGAGTGTACGGTTCATGATCAATCCATTGATTGAAGTGAACATTGCTGTCGAATTATTTAATTTTAGATAGACACGTCGGAGTATCCATTCCCTAATACGTTATGGAACCGGAAGTCAGCCAAAGAGATTGCAATCAAATCATCAGCCATGCTGGTTGTCGGTATTATGGGCATCTTCCTCAACGCCGTCATTCTCGTCATCCTGATGAAGAACAGGTGGCTGTGGACTGCCAGCAATTACCTCGTCGGAAACCTTGCCCTAGTAGATCTATTGACTTTGATACTGTGTCCCTGGTTCATGCTAGTCCGGGACTTCTACCAGAATTACGTATTGAGGAACTTCGGCTGCAAGTTTGAGGGATTTTTGCAAGGTGAGCTGGTATTTATTCCATTTAAAATAAACTTACGATAATAATAATAACATATTTTATGAAACTAGTTTACGGATTTTACTTCGTTTTTTATTTTGATTTGAACTCCCGACGTTTCGAACCTTTTCCAGCGTTCATGGTCACGGGACAGACTAAGTTGTTATATGTCATAGTTAAACCCGGCTACCGTCATATCATACCGTTTATTTTTATATTCGCGTAAAATCAAAAAAAACAATATAATAATAACAATTTAAAACCCGTAATGTATGAATAAGATAATAGAGTAGGTCAGAGTTTTTACAACGAAAATAGTTAAGGAGCACAGGTAACCACAGGTTACATCTTTTGTTCTAATAGAATAAAAAATATTAGTGTTAACTTCACACTACCCTCATGCGAATGTGTGCAAAATATCCTTGTCGAATCGATCCATTTATGTATCGGATCTAGGCATGAATAAATGGAATTTTGTCGTTTATTGACTGAGTTTTAATGCTGATTATTTCATTGCCTCTAAATCGCCAATTGCAGTGTGATCACTGGACATTTGCTGTTTTAGATTAAAATAAACATTATACTTTCTTATTAAAGACAATTTTCAAAAGGTTGTCAACGCACCTGCAACCCTCGGGTGTAGCAAATGTCTATAGGCGGCGGTATTCACTGAACATCAGGTGAACCGTTTGCTCGCTTGGAATCTTTTCGCATAAAAAAAAAGAAGAAAAGAAAACAAGTATCTCATTAAAATACTTATCATTGGTAAAAATAGATTACTAATATGATAGAGATCTTTGGTAATGATGACACAATAACAATGATAAATGACCAGTTGATTTATTTAGCAACGTTTCTCTTGGCGAGTGTTGGGGCCGTGATGTTGGTGTCATACGACAGACTTGCTGCGGCAGCGTTGAATTCTGATGCCAGAGTCACCAAAACTGCTGCTCCGAAACTGATAGTCGCTTCATGGATTATTGCAATCAGTTTGGCACTTCCATGGACCATTAAAAGGGACTTTATGGTAAGTTCATTGACATCTTAAGAACTGAAAACGGCGCTTTTTATCAACGTATTAAATATATTCTGTTCATATCATAGACCGTGTAAAATTCACGTTTTCTATTTTTTTAAACACGTCTGTATAAGTGTATTACCTATATAAGGCGAGGCCTATATTGTTCAAAATTTTAGCTTATAGTATCATAACCAAAGTTCTTGAATCCATCATTCTCTCACAAATCTAGTAAACAAATAGAGGAAAAAATGTTTTAATTGCATTATGTACTTTGTTTCTTGAAATTACTAATAAATTTTTTCCTTATGTTTCAATGTTCTCTGTGTTAAATATGTGTTTTTTATTTAATTTTAATTAGATTTTAATATTTGTATTTAAACGTTAAAACAGGAACGACAGTGGCTGGATTACTTGGAGATGTTTTGCGTAGAAGACGTTAACGTGCTTAACATTTATTGGCATTTTATCACAATCCTCTTAGTGTGGTTGCCATTGGGCCTTATGATTGTCACCGTAAGTTCTTTTATTTGGGTTGTACTTTTATTCTTATACAAAGACTTATCGCTCGCCAAAACACGACGTTCTTAAAATGAAGTAATAAAACATTTAACTGACTTATAGTTCTTCCTATCGAAGTAATCTATCGCGTCTCTAACGTGTTAAAAACACAGAATTCTATCCAAGTTGCTCATTTATCCTAAATCAATTTAGGGAACTTGTAACCAAACTTTGACTTCTAGACATTTTTATAGGGTGATATAAGGAATTGAAAACTATGATACAACCACGGGGGTTATTACAGCAGTTGCTGATTCGAAAGGGAATACTTTCGTTCACTATTCGTTTCAGTATGGCACTTTAATGTGGCGTCTCGAGTGGAGCGCGCGGCGTCTGGCTTCGCGCGGTGGCGGTCAGACCCTCACCAAAGCGAAAAGTAGAGCTATGAGAATAACGGCCTGCGTTTTACTGACGGCGGCCGTGTGCAGAATACCATATACAACCCTAGTGTACTGGAGAAACAATCTTAGCTTGGAAATTAATGCGGTAATCTCAATTGTAACCTTTTCAATATAATGTTTCACGCGGATGCTAGCTTGTTGCGATTTTGAAAGTGAAAAATTTCAATTTGCTATTACAGCCAGGAATTGTGCAGTACTTATTTATTGTGTACTTCTTTATTTGTGTTCAAGTAACATTTTTTTAAATTTTCTAAGCCAGAAATTTAATTTTTTTATAGTGCTTATCTCTGCACTTAAGACTGAACTTTAAAATTTGTAGAAAAAATACGAAAAGACTGTCGCCGCTGTGGGAATCGAACCCACGACTTCGACATATGCCGTACTTTGTTATTTTCGTTATTTTTCTACAAATTTTATTTTCTTAAACCAGTCAATCCTTCTGTTATGCAGGTTGACGGTGCTTACAATATAATGTGGTTTCTAGCAAACTACCTAATATATGTGAACTGTGCCATAAACCCACTCATCTACGGCTTCACCAACTTACGGTTCCGCAGAGCCATGGACAGAACGTCTGGCGTTGCTTCGTTCAGGTTTGGTTCCTGGTGTTGTTCTTGCGCGGTGGTATGTATTTGGCTAGGATCAATCTTTTTCTAAATCATTTTAGACTTTCTATGACACTTATTAACGGTCTGCGTATTGGTAATTTTACAACTTTACTAAAGAGTTGTACAAAGGTTCATGCAGTAGATTACCTGATAGTAATTGAAGCCCATGGCCAATCGAAACACAAACTTACAATCGAGTACACCGCAGACTGTCCATCTTAAAAGATGGCAATGAAATTTCTTCAGATAATTGGTAATCTCGTAGAGAATCAGAGTATTTCGCTTCATCACTAAACAGTATCTTTCGTTTTTAGCTCAACTCAAAGAAATGCCCATCGCAAGACAAGAACATGGCGAAGATTTTCGTAATTGAGAACAGTCCCCGCCCGAATAAAAAGTTATCGCGCGTAATAAAGAACATATTGCATATTAACAGAGATACTATCGAACTCAGCCTGCCAAAAGTCGAAGAAGTCACCACGAAACCTACAAAAATTACGCCTTTGAAAGTGGAAAATATATTATAGTTATATAGAATTGTAAAGGGAAACTCTACACAGAGTTGTTCAATCAGTATATTTCGAGGAATGATCAATTTGTTATAAATCAAATATTTTACATTTTTTTTACACATGCAACACAATTATTGAAGGCATGGAAGTAATCTAATAAATTAATTCTATTTAAGCATGCTCTTTAAAATACGTTAAAAAAATATTAATATGAATTCATTGACCCGTATCATTCTTCAATTACGAAATATCAGAAAAATAATAATCTTGTTAGTCATCGTTTGGAAATTTTGTCTTCTAAATTTCGGAAACATTCAATCATATTTTACTTATTAGTCTATAATTATTGATCCAATTCATTTGTTTACAATTTTGTATCAGAGTTTGTCGGTCATGGCGTGGATTAGTGAAACAATAGACTAAGAACCTTATGGACACGAGCTGGAATCCTTGAGGCATCCACCAAATCCAACTTGTGGATTTCTTAAACGCAAGATCACTGTGTCAAATTTGGAATTGTTCATGGCAATAAGAGTCACCACCCTGTTATGCACTCTATACATCGATTTTTCTAATATAGTTTAAATTTATCTCAAGTTTAGGACTCCATATATCCCTCTGCATATGATTGTCGGAATGGGGTAACTGACAAGTGATCTGCAATCAGGGCATAGTGGGACGCAGCGATGCTGTTCGATATGACGCAGCCTATAATGCAGCGATCCCGCTCAGGTCAAAAGCTATGAGATATCGTTCGTGTTTTTTTTTTAATTATGCTGGAAAATTATTTGCCGCATCCAGTTGGCAGGTTAACTCATTGACTTTTGTCTCTAGGGTTTCTATCATATGCGGCTCAATTCGTAAGATGTTAGCAGCTTCCTGCAGTAGCGCCATACTCTGCATCAGTTGATCCTGTAACGAAATTTTTGTTTATGAATGACGAACTAATCATCTTTAGATGGCTATTACTTATTTCTGATGGTTCGTTACAAATCTTGTGATAGATCTTAAATCATTTTCCCATGTGCTATGGTCTTGAAACTTGTAAATTAGCTCAGGTTGTCAAGACCATGTTTTTTTTATGTGAAAAGTTGTCAAACGAGCAGACGGTTCACCTGATGCTAAGTGAATACCGCCGCCCATGGATATCTGCGACACCCGAGGGTTACAGATGCGTTGACAACCTTTTGAAAATTGGGCTCCGGCTACCTCACTCACCAGACGAAACACGAAAGTATTTGTCATATTTCCACTTTACGCTAGTCTTCTGTGAAGTCGTGGTACTTACCCGGACGGGCCTGCCCATACGTGCAACAGTCAAGGCTGCTGCGTGGCCCTACCGCCGTAAATATTTTTATTGTCATTATGACAACAAAAAACATGGTCTTGTATTCATGTACATCTTCCATTTAACGTAATTAAATTTATACTTAGTTACTAGTTATATACATAGTTATATACAGAGCCGTGATAGCTCAGTGTCCGGGCGCTCGCCTTTAATTCAATATACTCGAGCAACCTGAGTTCGATCCCCGGTGCCGGCACCAATGAAGTTTTTAACTTTAAGTGCTGACTTATCACGTGCTCCGCGGTGAAGGAAAACATCGTGAGGAAACCGGCATATTTTCGAAATAATAACAAAAAAATATATATTTCGAAAATATGTGAAGTCCGCCAATCCGCAGTGGAGCCGCGTGGTGGACTATGCCCTGATACCCTCTGTATAGAGGAGGCCTTTGCCCAGCAGTGGGACATGTATTGGCTGTAACTTTACTTTTTTTACTTTACTAGTTATACTACTTTACGACAGTAAACAATTAAAAATAAACTACTTTATGTTATTGGCAATTTTAATCCTTGTGATACTGTAAAGTAACATCGGACACAATGCCTTATGCACGCCAGCAAGTAATAATAAATTAATATTTACTTTTCATTACGGGTACACAAAGTACATAAGTTAGAAGCTATCAGAACTGATGGGCAAATGAATCATCAGCCCAAGTGTATTTGAAATGTTATAGCAATCCATTCCACGGCCCACGCACATCCGTTGAAAAGCCGATAGTTATAAAATTACTAAAACGATTTTCTTCGTCACTGTGATATAAGCCTGCAGTAACCTTTAAACATGCCGAATACGACGTGCCGGATATCATTTAGTATAAACACTAAAACACGTTTCTTTATATAATCTTAAGTCTTTAGACTAACGATAATATATAAAACAATTTAGTTATTTATACTTCAAATGTTGAATTTCATATTTCAACAGACATTTGTATATTAACTTGTAAATGCCTGTGTTATTTTTCAACTCAGTCAATGATATCATATACAAATAAGAGATAGTCATATACAAATATCACATTAGCGCACCACAACTGAGGCACTTAATTCACGCCAATTGGTGTAATTAGATTGCAATTCTATAGACTGCTATATCTTTCCCTATCATACATTCTACACACTTTTGTCACATTCACTTTTATATGTCATATAATGTAAAGCGGAACAATTTTTAAACTGCAATATGGACATGCGTCACCTTATGACACCAATCGTATATAATATCTTTGTTATTAAAACATCATAGTCTACTTAACACAGTACCTGTTAACCCATATTTTATCGTGTGTCTAAAAATAAATGTTAAATAAACTCATGTGTCTTAAAATAAAATCTAGGGCGCTGTCTAGCAATACACAAATTTTATAATCCTCATAGGTACTAATTTTGGCAGCACTCCAATTTCCAACAAAAACCGACATTTCAATAATAATCTCGCTATTTTACGCAAAAAAATCCCTACTTCATCCAACCTATTCCTTTTTAATATGAAAATAAATGACTAAGTAATTGTGGTTTCACTTTCGAATGAGCCAAATATTAGTAAGAGTATATCGCATTTCCTGGTTTTAAATTGATTTGATGTATTATATATTTTAACGTACGAAATCGCATACTGCACATTATGTGCCTCGGATATGTCATGATATAAGGTATATATAATATTTGTAGATTTCATTAGAATTGTAATTAATAAAAACTAAAATAATTAATAAAAATATTAATTCATAGCATGTTACTTATGTGTTTTAACTGACTGCATCAGCACCGCTTTTTTTCTTAGTGCATTCAAGTATCAGTAATAAATAAAACCGGTTAAGTGCGAGTCGGATCTCGCACCGAGGGTTCCGTACCATTATCTATAAAAACGGCAAAAAATCATGTCTGTTGTATGGGAGCCCCGCTTAAATATTTTTTTATTCTGCATTTAGTATTAGATGTTACATAGGCAACAGAAATACGTCATATGTAAATTTAAACTGTGTAATCACGGTTCACGAGATACAGCCTGGTGACAGACAGCGGAGTCTCAAATTATTAGGACCATAACGAGCTTTGAGATGTTTTGAGTATTGTTATATTATATTTTTTGTCGATTTAGTTTATTCTGAACTTGAACAGTAATATTAATACAATTATACGTAACCTGAGCTCCAACTTTTGTTAGTCTCTGAGATTCGAATTCCCGCTTAGTCTGCATTGACATCGCGGCTTGAAGCTCAAGTAGAATTGTAGCTCGGAATCTCGTCCAGCCGGGTTCCAACTTATCTGCCAACTCCAAAAGTTCGTGACAGAGGTCCGTTTTTCGTTTAAGCAGATTATCTGGAAGTTCTGCAAGATAATATTTACATAATAACTGCTGATGTATTATACGAATCCAAATTCAATGTATACTTTGTATATGAAACAGTTTTGTTGATCCATTAGTCATAAAATAACTATAACAATGAATTTAAAATAAAATTAATGTTAACTAAGTGAAAAAATATGAAATGAAAATAACATGAATAATACCTGCTAACGAGTACCCCTTGTAATTTCCATATATTTGCATTAAAGCCAATTTCGCTTGGATAATCAAATGGTTCGTTGGGTGCAAAGTTAGATTGTACTTGTCTATAAATTCCTCCAACTCCTGTGGGCCAGATTTATCGAGCTTATTCAAGTCTTGTTTCAAAGCGTTGTTACCCCAGAACATTTGTCTGCCTTGTATATAGTGGTCGCATTTCTCGCATTTCCACGGTGCATTTTCGTCCAAGGTATTGGTGGATACAAGCATAGCTCCTTTCATTAGATCATTGTCGGTATATGGTCCATTGCAAAGTGAACAGTAAATGTTACCTAGATAAGTGCCAAATTCCGTTGGATCTCTGCATCTTTCGCATTCGCAGTTGAAGCATTTGCTCTGTTTTAAATGTTTTCGTCTGTCCAAAGTGCCCCATAGGGACTGAGTGTACGTGGCTGTGATGAGTTCACCTTTAGCAATCGGTACGGTCGCGATTAAAACCATAGTGTGGTCGTCACCCAGGAATACATGCCTCGTGTTCGATCTGCAGTTGTGGTTCATCATTGAAGCCGTGACGTAAATTGCTCGCAACCTCCTCTTACCATCAGGAGATCTGACGTCGAACGAGTTGGTATCGAAAATGGATGCCACTTGCAGGATCGTTTCGTCCTTAAACGACAGACCAATAACGTTCCTCACGAAAGAGACAAGGTTGGTTTTCAAAACGGTGTACAGCTGCGTCTGCATCCTATCATCCAAATGTGACTCGAGACTCATTATGTTTTCGAATTGCTTAGGATCTGTCTCTTTCATCAGTAGCACTCTTAATGGCGCTATCACGCAATAAGCAGCTTCGGCTTTGTCACCATTCTCGTATTTTATAGTGGATTTGTATCCTTTAGCTGTCATGACGAGGCATTCGTTTTTGTGAACCTCCGCTTTGGAGCATCCGGGTCCGCACATTGGCCAATTGCACTGAGGACATTTGTAATAATCCAATCTATCCTCAGCTGCGATTGGTTGCAGTTTATTTCCGCAGGACAAGCAGTGAGCGGTGCACGCCATTCTAGGACCAACGACCGCCGGTTTCTCTTTCAGTATGACTTCACCCTGCCGTATATCCCGCGTGGCGATCATATGCCTGCCTTGAGTGGGGGAGAACTGGATTTTGTAGGGGCAACACTTTGATCTGTGGCCCTCCTTCCATCCTTGCTTCTGATGCGTCCTCGAGCAGTAGTAGACTTGCTTGCAACCGCCACACGTCTGGGTAGCGGGCCGTTGGCAGACACCGCATACCGGAACTTCCCGCTTAGGATTGTCCATTTCTGTCTTTTTGTTGCTGAGCTGTCAATTCGGGACGCCCGGCACGCCCGTCCCAGGCCGTCTCCAACACAATACTCGTCCGAAATAGAAACAGATAATTATCACCACGCAACTAAACACATGGAAGACGTGCCAACAAAATGAAAAACTGCGGGCCGCTCTCTTTTGTAATAACAAACGTTTAATGTGTGTCGTGACGTGGATTGCGCGTTTTAACGTCTCGTAAGATAACATTTCATTGGTCTGTGGAATTTAAATACATACAGTTCGTATTAGGGTCTTATTGCGTAATTAGTTAAATAAATTCCATGTTGCAAATTAAATGGTCCTTTTATAAAGCATTCTCTTTCATTCTTTATCTTGAGATTTTTAAAATATGTGTTATGGATTCAATTCCCGCTAGATTAAATTAAATATTTATTTCGGGTATTTGTTATTTTTATTATGGACAAAAATGAAAAATGTTTTACTTATTGGTATACTATTTTTTGATTTTTAAAACGACGGTATAAACCGAATAATTCAATTTTATGTTGATGATAATACACTTTAAAAATAGAGAGAAATTGTCCGCATCTAAATCAGGTCATTTTCTATGCGACATATAGGTACAAACTGTATACGTTTAATGTTCCGACGAATTCATCGATGAAAATTATTTGTAAAGGCATTCAGATTTTTAATTACATTTTTCATTATATTTTTAGTTGCTAATAGTTTAGCAGCTGCTAACTGGCTTCGGCACCGGGGATCGTGGGTTGGATTCATCATTTACTCATTCATATCGTAGGATACATTGGAAGACAATTATGTGTACAGCCCACAGATAATAGTTCCGAATCTGGTTGTTAATTACCAAGGAGGCAGGCGGCCTTATAAAAAAACTAGCCAATACCATTATCAACGTGATTCACATTTTGTATCCACCCCACAAGTGGGATAATAGAAGTAAATTAAAGCAAGAGCCTATGCTGCTGTCCCACTGCTGGGCATAGTCCACCACGCGACCCCAACGTCGAATGATAGACTTCACGTATCTTCGAAATGTTATTAGGTACCTACTTAATATGTTGAATTAAAAGCGTGCGCTAAATTCTACTAATAAAGAGAAAAAAAAAATTTCTACTAAATACAGTCGATAATAGTCTCAAAGATGCATGCTTATTAACTAAATAACCAGTTAAGTGCCTAAATGCTGCACAATTTGTAAATAATACAAAAGAAAAATGACTCGGTGCAGTTGCTAGTCTATTGGCTTCAGCGCCGGGTAGGTTCGATTCCCACAAGGGCCAAGTACCTGTTAGACCCACAGGCAATTATTCTGGATTTGGATATTTGTCCCAACGGAGAGTTGACGTCAGGCAGGCGGCCGAAAAAACCTAGCCAAAATCACTTACAACATGATCCACATGTCCTACCAACCCCATCTAGCTGGATTAAGGGCAAGAAGATGACGATGATTTTATATATATAAATATTCATTAAACTTGGATTTTAAAGAGTTTGCAAGTTTAAAGAAAGAAAAAAACTAATTAAAAACAATTCCCTTACTTTCGTAAGCTAATAATTTCAAAATTATATAATACTCGTACATTATCAAAACTATTCTTCCTATCATCTATATCTTAAGATTCCCATCACAACCGACATTTATTAAGTTATTTGTATTATGAAATAGTAAGACAGAAGTGCAGATGATTCATTGTGGAAACGTTTATACCAAGTAGGAAAAGCAATAAAAAACATTCATTCTCATTTTTCGTATCGCGTGACGATCTCTAACTATCAGAATAGGCCATTTGGATTGTATATAAGTACTTGCTTTTATCCCAGGCTCCATTTGAGTGTTAGAAATATTAAGTACGGTTAATTTTACGCTAAAAAAATAAAACATCAGCCTTTAACTGAAGCTACGTTTACGCGATTTTTTGTATGGTACAAAAATTTACGAGAGATAACCAATTTTCATTTAAATGCATTCGGCCGTTGCGAGGCGAAGGGATCATAGAATATATAATGTAAGCGTAAGCAAAATCCTCAGAATTTGAACGACATCAATGATATATGATTTATCGTGTAAAGACTGAGAAACTTCTGGATATTTCTCAGCGCATGGAGCTGCAATGCAAATATCATGTGCATATTCTTTGCGAGTGAGTTTATAACCCAGTTACGCAACGCTCTGGACTTTCTTCGTCTTCGGCCGTAGTGTGTAGCCAAAGCGGCGAGGTGCGCGCCCGTCGCGATTCATGGAAAACTTTTAGTGGAAAACTCTTTGAGTTAAGATAATACCGTAAATTTGTTTCGTGATATTTTCCCGTAAGTACACCACGCTGTTTTATTATCGCGTGAACATTCGAATGTTTTCTATGTATATGGTTTTTAAACTTCATAAATTTTTTCAACACCAAATGACGTCAAATATTTATAAATACATTAACAACAACTTGCTACGGAGGAGTATTGCAAATTAAAATCGTATAATATTTAACATTAAATTTCATAAAGAAATAGAATTTTATTCATTGAATACAATTAAAATTAATTGTAATTTGTTACAACTGATTTGATTTATTTTTAAGGTGTTTTGTGTCTTAATATTTTAATCTAAGAGATATATCATGTCCGTTATAACAGCAGCACTGTAGTTGAAGTGAAAATACTTTCAAATCTCTGCCATACAACACCAACAAGACAATATGGACTTTGATCGATTTACAGCTTGTACGAGGTACTATACCAAATTGGTACCTATAGTTATCGTAAAGCGTACAATAATAGAATGCAATATACCAGCACTGGATGCCAAAGAAAGCAAAATGCCTAAAATTACATTTATATATTTGGTCCATGATTGAACGTTGTTTATTCTTAAAGATTGCTTCTTGTGCAATTATTCTGGAACACTTGAAATCTTGGCCTATTTATGATAATTTTTATATTGTTATTATTAATTAACTACTAGGGCGTTTGTGCATTTTAAGTATCCCTACTACTTTACTTGGACCTTCACGAACTTTTCCAACCGACTAAAATTAACATAGGTTAACATGACTTCATATTTTGGTGAAACCTCCTGGTTACAATTTTTTTTGTTTAAATATAAAAACCTGTCAACAGTTGTTAGCTTTGAAATTGCAAATTCTGAATGTAAGAAGAAGGGTATCCTACAATTAATGTGAAATTAAAGTTCATATTAATCGTGTTCGTCGCTTTGATTATTGACTTAATTGGCACCGGCAGTATTTCAATAAAATTTAGTAATTTCGCAGTTACATTAAAATTTTGATTCAATAGACGATATTCGTTGTATTTTCAGGATCATGGGGCAGGAGAACGACTTACCATACAAGGCAAAGAACTTTTTTATAAATTTGTTATACTGCCATCTGTTATAACATTTTAACACCTCATTGTGGAATGAGAGCATTAAATCTAAGTGTTACCTGAAGCTATCAATAGATGGCACTAGCTTATCCCCCATTTATGTATTAAATAAACACGATAGATGGCAACTGATGCTAGGAAATACTACTTTTAAAATGGCTCAAAACTTTGTGTGATGTTGATTTTAGTGATTATTTAATCCATTTTTGTTCTCCATTAGCAATTTATAAGCTTTATATGGGTATAAATAGCCAACGGACAGACTATGTAACCTATCAATGATTTCAAATTTTATATGAATCTGAGTACAAGTTAGAATGTGACAAAACTTATTAGCAATGGAAGATCTTATTAAAAACATCACCATCATCATCTTTATACTCATAATTATTATCACCAATTCTTTGATTTAGGTACGTGCAAGATTACGATCACTTATTTTTAGTACAACAATAACCTCAGTTTCATATATTTCATCTTTGAAATGACATCACATTAAACCATAAAGGGAGGTTAGAAGCTTATATATGTAAAAAATGGTGCATATCCTTGATTCAGTAAGTTATTTGTTAGTTTGATACCTGTATCACAAGCATGACTGTGCATCATAAGTTTTCGAAACTTTTTTATGTGAGAAGGTGGCAAGCGGGCTGGCGGTTCACCTGATGTTAAGTGATAACCGCCGCCAATGTACATTAGAAATACCTGTATGGTTACAGATACGGTGCCACCTTTAAATAAAGTGGGCTCCGGCTGTCACACTCATCAGACGAAACGCATAATTATGAGTATAACTCTTCCACTTCGCGCCGCTTTCCAGTGAGATCGTGGTGGATCTTTCCCGGACGGACCTGCCCATTCGTGCAACGAAGATTGTTGCGTTTCCCTCCCACAATTAACTTATAATAACAGTAAGTACAGGAAGGGCGTTGCTGTACTGGCTTTGTTTAACTAATTTCCGTTCTAACAATATTAGAGTGGATACTGAAATTACGTCGTTGCACATTCAGGTGGAAAGAAGCGACGAGCTCGGCCGGTACTTGGTGGCCGCTCGGGACCTCTCGCCTGGCGACGTGGTGCTCACAGAACGGCCGCTAGTGTTCGCACCGAAGGCGATGATGGACCCTGAGGCGCAGATGCCCTGTGTTGGCTGCTACAAGCCCGTTTTCACGGACATCGGCGAGAGATGCGCTAAGTACGTCACTACCCCAATCCTATAATACACGCTTTCATTGGCTTTAATGTAGTATGGGTTAACGTAGCGAAGTGTTTCAATCAAAACTACTAGTGAACCAACCAGAGGTCTGTGGTTCGATCCCCACTACTCGATTTCTTTTTGAAATACTGAAAAGGCCCTATTGTGTTAATTTGTATAACAACGAAGTTTCCTCACGTCTACAAAAGTAGATTAGCTTTTTTACCTTTACTTAAAAGTCACTCGATTATTAGCTTTACACCTCGCCTGAAATGTGCATGTTGCTCTACACAGGTCGTAAGTATTTCTCGGTAATATTGCAGTAATAAAACGGAAAAACGCGGCACCTCATTGATGAGCGCTTTTTCATTTTGTAGAACGCCTCTGTTTTTCATTTGTTTCTTGAAGAATTAAAATTTCGCGTGGTGTGATCTTATTGCACACCATCGTACACTTAAAGAACAATTCAATTTTAAGACTGTTCACGTACTCTAGATGCGGGTGGCCGGTCTGCAGTGGGAACTGTCCTGGTTTGACTGACCCAAAGCATCACGGTATCGAGTGCAACATACTAAGCGTGCGCCCTGAATGTGTACTCGACAACATGGCTGACTACTACAGGTACAAGTTAGAACTTGTATACAGGTTTAAAATGTTATTGGACAGTATCGGTACTGCTTGCTGGGTCACGCCAAGCATTGACAAAAATGTGTAGTAGATACTCATTTAGCTTTCGGGCCGTGAGAATATCGTGCGCTTAGCTCAGTTGCCTAGGTTTGGACGTGTTACCGAGAAGCAGCAGGTCCGAAACCTGGCAACGTTAGAAAACTTGTTACTTGAAATCGTTTGTATACGACTTGACGGGTAAATAAAAGTTAATGGTCAAACCATTTTTCTCAAATAATTTAAACCAACCAAATAATTTAAATGGGTAATGTTGACGCAATATATTTCAAACCTGGTCGCTATCATTAGTGGAGATACCACTTGAAAAATATGCAATGATTCCAATGTAGGAGTTGTGTTGTTTGGGCGGAATTTAAAATAAAATTAAAAAATTTAGACAGTGATTCATCCTTTCAGACACGACGCTTTGTTACCATTGCGGTGCCTTCTTCTACAAAAAAGCGATCCGGTGAAATGGGATAGTGTACAAAAAATGCAATCACACATGGAATGCCGTATTCCGGGGACGGAGGCTTATGAGTAAGTGGAATTACATTTTGAAATTAACTCAAGCTTAATTTAGGGAGGATAAACATAGCGAATGATATCGTATATTATCACTATTTAGATCAAAATGTTAGAAATAGAAGTTTTTATTTCTCTGTTTATACTTATGCAGAACTTCGATACGCGGAATGAATTTATTCAAATTTACTTAAATAATTTTACTATTAACAATCAACCTTATGGTGGTCCAGAAAAGTTAAAGTAATTCAACTTGTAAAAATCGAGGAAGGTAAAATGACATAGACATTGACATTACAGTTTGTTAAATAGACGATGATACGCAGGACATTGAAGAGACGACTATCGCCATCGAAAGGATCAAAAAACTTAGGAAACACACCAACACACACCGCACTCTCCGGCGAGTGCGGCAAACATATACGAGGTTCCGCCACGTACCTGGCAGGTTTTCCCCCATTAATGATAGAAGCGTTGGTGGAGTTTCTTCCGCCACTTCTTCTCCCAGCGCCAATGCATTCCGAAGTGGTAGTAATGTTAGATCTAGAAATTCCCCCAGTCAGACAATAGCTACCGATCGAGCCGAGCACTCTCTCGGGCACCCTCGAATCGGAATGCTAAACGCGTGTTGAGTGACAGCCCAAGCCGAGGTCCGCTCTCAGGGACCCTTGAGCCTGATCACTCCATGGAGCGCCTTCCAAAGCGCCCTAAGAGGTTGGCGGCCTCCCAAACCGGTGATAATAATAGCGTGACGGCCCGAGCTGAGGTGCCCCCGGGAGCCCTCGAGCTTAGTCACCATAACGCGTAATAATAATACGCCGAGGTTCAGGCTAGGCGCCCCGTGCGCCAGGCCACCTCAAGCCCGTCGGAACTGTAAAGGCCCCTAAAGCCAACAGTGGCTCATCCAGCCCAATAAAAAGGGACATTGACATTAATAAACTAAAGTGACATTATGAAATAAAGTACCACATTGTGTTACGTACATTTTTGTTTAATAATACAGAACTTCATAAACAAGATCCATATTTGTATGTCAATGTCAATGTCTCGCGTATCAACCTATATTTAACAGACTGTAGGTACTTAAAATCGTAACTTCGAAGTCCGAGTTGAAATAATCGTAAAACTCTCATGAATTTAATGCAGGGGCATAGTTTAAATGAAATATTTATAAATGTATATAAATTAAATAACAGTGAAGTTATTCATCAATACAATTTAAAATTTGATATTGACAAGCCTTATGCTTACCACGTCATATTTTAATATAGCCTGCAAACAGTATTATCTCAAACGTTAACAGTATTTAACTATGTTTCCTGTGACTATATCTACGGAACATATTCAGTTAACAATACGAATTCAACAAAAAAACAATTATAAAAACAATTTAACACATTATTTGCATTATGATTGTCATGATTGCCATGACGCAAATGTAATACTATGATATGAATACAAGTCTCATTTTATTTACAGCGAAGCCAATGAGTTTATAGTTGAATATCTCATAAACAATTTCATCAATAAACTTGGACAAGACTTAAGAAACAAATATTTTCAAGATGTGTCCAAAGATTTAATTCACTCAATGTGTGGCATTATCGACACAAATGCTTTAGAAATAAGACTACCTGAAGGGGCTGAGCTTCAAGCGCTATACTCTAGAACTTGTATTTTAGAGCACAGCTGTATACCGAACACAAAGCATACGTTTAACCACTCAAGCGATGACAAGAATGATTGGTATCGAATAACAGTCAAAGTGGTTGTTCCCGTTATGGAAGGCCAACATATAACCACAATGTATAGCCATGCTTTATGGGGAACGCAAGCTCGAAGACAACATTTGAAAGATACCAAATATTTCTCTTGCAAGTGCCCAAGATGTAGCGATCCCACCGAACTAGGAACTTACCTGAGTGCAATGAAATGTTTCGGTGAGGGGACGAACCCGTGTGATGGAATCCATCTGCCTGTTGACCCGTTAGATGACAACACAGACTGGGCTTGTAGCAAATGTACAGTCCGAGTTAATAACTGTCAAATTAATATGCTCATTTCTCAAATGGGGGAGGAGGTTGACAGCGTATTAATGATGGGTGGTTCTGTGACGATGCTGGAAAATTTACTTTGCCGATTGTCGACCTTCCTTCATCCGAACCACTATCACTTATATTCCTTAAAGCATTCGTTAGTACAATTATACGGTAGACATACGAGTTACATGTCTGAGGAGGTGTTGGATAAGAAAATAAAAATTTGCAAAGACCTTATCGGAATCACTAACACATTGGATCCAGGTAATGCACGCTTAAGTTTGTACAGCTCCGTACTGCAACACGAACTACACTCGGCTTTAATTTTAAAGGCGAAAAAAGTTAATAGTGACGGTAGTTTCAAAACGGTGGAAGAAATTAAACCTTTACTTGTTGATGCGAAGTCGTGCATTGAACTTGCACTAGAAGCATTAAAGGATGACATGGAGGAAACTTCTGGAAAGAAGCTGTACGATGTCATAGAGGGAAGTAAAAGAGATTTTGTAAGGTTTTGTAAAGAAAAGAATGTTTCAGTCTGAATAAGTTTATTGCATTATCTTATGTTAAATAAAAAAAATATAAAAACCTAATGGTAACTAAATTTATGTAGTATCACAGACGTATCTTTGATCATAATTGTTAAATAACTTATAAATTAAAGTTTAAAGTAATATACTTTCAAAACTAAAACGTTGTCAATATCGTTAATACTTTTATGCACATCATTATCTCATCCTCTTCTTGGGAACAATCTGAAACCGGCTCTCGTATCATCACTGTTTACATTTTCAACAATCCAGTTCGTATACCTGGACACTCTAGTATATATTCCAGGCATTTTTGCCCTAGCACAGCCGCTGCCTGTCGAAACCACACCAACGACCATAGAATGGCCTTTATTACCACGCACTATCAAAGGACCACCGCTGTCAGCCTGTAAATAATAAAAAAAACAGTGACGCAATTATTTAACTTTAACTTTCTCTGTACAATGGTAAGTAAAAAAAAATACATTACAAACTCCTCTATTCAGAATGTTTAGAGCATACGTGAACCATGTCACGCTAATGGGATCACATGTACTCAAACTGTTTTTTTTTTATTAGATCTACCGAGTCTGTACATTTAGTAAGCACTTCAAATTTCAGTTATTCATTAGTGCTACCGGGATATGAATTCTTCTTTTTCCAGTAGATTTGACCAAATGAACACTCAACTATCTATGGCTCTTGTATTAAAAAAATATTTATTAAAAAAAATATTTATCCTTACCCAGCAAGAGTCTCTGCCCCCTTGCTCGTGTCCAGCACACATTTGAGTGGAGACAATCTTCACTTTGCTACCCTGTGATTCGTACCAGCTGTTGCACTCGTCGTTGGTGACAACAACCACGTCAGTCTTTTGTAGAATGTTTGGCCTGGTGCCTGTTAAGGGAATGGTTCGACTACAACAAGTATCGTGTCTATATTGAAGGGGGTCGAGGCAAGTTTTAATGTGCGCAGAGCTATACAGAGTGCACTGCTGCCTGAACGAACCGGCTAGGCCGGGGAAGCACCACCCGAGAAGAGGTGGCCTTAGAGGCCATAGTAGTGTCGGGGTCGCAGAAGATTGCGTCTTTGTATTTCCGTGTCCCCGGCCGATGCGACAGAGAAAGGTGCAACGTGGGTTTTTTTCCGCGTAAAAAAAAGTAAAAGGTATATGTGTTGTAGAAATACGTACGTGTAGAGAGGCCCCAAGTTGTCATTGAGATACAAAATAATATATTAGCGAGAAAGATAAAACTATGAACTACTTGTATGTAAGATATTCATTAAAATATTGGCCAACGTTGGCGCCTGAAGTTGGGGCTAAAATTAATAATTTTTTGTTGTTTGATTAATATAAATTTACAAATGTAAATGGCTTATTTAAGTACTCGTTTAAATTTTTTCTTCATTAAAGTTATATTTGTATGTAATCCTAAAAATTCCGTAGAATAAATTATGCATCGTGTTTTGTTTCGTTGGCTAAGTTTCGTACCTATACCCCGGTCCTCATTGGTGAAGCCCCAACCTGCGACGATGGCTTGTATCCCGCTGAAATCCGATGAAGAAGATTGAGGTAAACAGGCGGGTCGCAGTTCACTAGTCCAAACTAGTTGCCGGAGGGTTTTCAAGAGAGCTACGTCATTTGGCTTTCTGTTGCATCTGTAAAGGACATTTGGTACGTTATTAAATTATTGATCAGGAGGTGAATTCTTTTCATTCTTTCAATTAAATATATTGAATAACCGAAAACTTATGTTTACAGTTCATGAGGATTATTCATTTTCTTTCTTCTAAAGAATGAAAACAAGTAATAGAACCACACAGCGCTTTATACTACCTGAACGGCGGGCTGGTTGGACCGGGAAGTAAAAGATTTGCGAAATGTCGTTATATAATAGTACAAGCATTAATAAGCAAAGTAGTAATTCCTCCTTCTTTCTTCTGCCTTTATCCCATTCAGGTGAGGTTGACAGAGTATGTAAACCAGTTGGTAAGGTTTTTTTACGACCAGCCGTTTATCTGACGACAACCCCCTTGGAGACCTACGCCAAGACCCAGACACATTATCTGTGGGTCACATAAATTTTCACTTGTCCCGTTTGGGAATCGACCACCACTACCGAAGCCAATAGACAAGCAACTGCGACACCAGAAAGGGAGTTGTAACTAATTAAGCAAGTTTTGCTATGTCTAGGTTTTCACTTCATGTTTCGAGATCCTTATGGGCAGTATTGCATATCTCTGGAATGCTGGATACTTCGCCTTATTTATTCTTACTATACAATACTTACCTGTAGTCAGGGTGTGGCAAAATCCTTGACAGTGGTTGGTTCACATCGTTGCTTGAAAGGTCTGTATAACCAGCCACCACCGTCAGTTGTTTAGATTTGTAGAACTCGTCAAATACGCTGAAAAGAAAGAGATTTAAATTGTTTATAGTGCTAATCTTTGCACTTAAGATTGAACATTACAATATGTAGAAAAAGTGCGAAAAGATTGTCGCCGCTATGGGAATCGAACCCACGTCTTCGGCATTCGCGGCCTGACGCTCTAGCCACTGTGCTAAACGGCTGATTACCACACCGTCGAAAATCTTAACGCATTCTTCTACATTTGTTTTCTTAGCATTTGAAGCAATGCTTGGCGCCATCTATTGTTATATCCTTTCCAGCATACAAACAACTTCGAATATCGTTTTACAACGATAATTCGAACGAGAGATGTCGCCATTGCTTTTTAGAAATTTAAATTGTTTATAGTGCTAATCTTTGCACTTAAGATTGAACATTACAATATGTAGAAAAAGTGCGAAAAGATTGTCGCCGCTATGGGAATCGAACCCACGTCTTCGGCATTCGCGGCCTGACGCTCTAGCCACTGTGCTAAACGGCTGATTACCACACCGTCGAAAATCTTAACGCATTCTTCTACATTGTTTTCTTAGCATTTGAAGCAATGCTTGGCGCCATCTATTGTTATATCCTTTCCAGCATACAAACAACTTCGAATATCGTTTTACAACGATAATTCGAACGAGAGATGTCGCCATTGCTTTTTAGAAATTTAAATTGTTTTATAGTGCTAATCTTTGCACTTAAGATTGAACATTACAATATGTAGAAAAAGTGCGAAAAGATTGTCGCCGCTATGGGAATCGAACCCACGTCTTCGGCATTCGCGGCCTGACGCTCTAGCCACTGTGCTAAACGGCTGATTACCACACCGTCGAAAATCTTAACGCGACATCTCTCGTTCGAATTATCGTTGTAAAACGATATTCGAAGTTGTTTGTATGCTGGAAAGGATATAACAATAGATGGCGCCAAGCATTGCTTCAAATGCTAAGAAAACAATGTAGAAGAATGCGTTAAGATTTTCGACGGTGTGGTAATCAGCCGTTTAGCACAGTGGCTAGAGCGTCAGGCCGCGAATGCCGAAGACGTGGGTTCGATTCCCATAGCGGCGACAATCTTTTCGCACTTTTTCTACATATTGTAATGTTCAATCTTAAGTGCAAAGATTAGCACTATAAACAATTTAAATTTCTAAAAAGCAATGGCGACATCTCTCGTTCGAATTATCGTTGTAAAACGATATTCGAAGTTGTTTGTATGCTGGAAAGGATATAACAATAGATGGCGCCAAGCATTGCTTCAAATGCTAAGAAAACAATGTAGAAGAATGCGTTAAGATTTTCGACGGTGTGGTAATCAGCCGTTTAGCACAGTGGCTAGAGCGTCAGGCCGCGAATGCCGAAGACGTGGGTTCGATTCCCATAGCGGCGACAATCTTTTCGCACTTTTTCTACATATTGTAAAGAAAGAGATTTTTTACCATTAAATTCTTATAATATTTTAACGACTTCTTAAGTTTAATGACTATCAACTTGGCTTTCAATGGCTTCTGTACAAGTAGATAATTATTTATACAATGATTTTAAACTTGTTAAATAGATTTCTAAAGACAATGGTATTTATTTCAAAAAATTATTTGGACAACTGCGTTGTGGTTACTATTTGCTAAATATCATGCATCATATATCTTTGAAGTCGAAGCTAGTGCTAAGCACGACTTAGATTTGATTACGGAATAGATTTATAATCGTACTGTTTTAAGCGAAGAGTTTTCAAAAACACTTTATTCTTAGTACTTACCAAAGGAAAATAACCATTTTTTACGACTTCCTAGTGGCAGATTTCGGACAACAGCGCGAAAGGTGCTACAGGTACACAAGCGTAGCATGTACTTCATCATCATCATTTCAGCCTATTTGAGTCCACTGCTGAACATAGGCTTCGCCCATAGACTGCTACGAAGTACGATCCTGAGCGATATAGCTCAGAGGATTAGCAAGCTGAAGTGGCGATGGGCCGGCCATATAGCTCGTAGAACCGATAACCGTTGAGGAAGAAAGGTTATAGAGTGGCAGCCTCGTACTGGCCATCGCAGTGTGGGACGACCCCCCACTAGATGGAGTGACGACCTGTGCAAATGTGCGGGAAGTCGATGGATGCAGGTGGCTCAGGATCGTACTTCGTAGCATGTACTTACTTATAAATAATGACAATATAAACATGTATTGAATATCGATGGCTCGCTCCCTTTTCGATTAATTAATTAATTAATTTATTTATTTATTTATTCTGACATAAGAAATCAAAATTTAAATATATCTAGTAAGTTCTCCCAGGAACAACTGTCTGGCCGACTCTTGGACGTAATCGAGACGCTAAAAATTAGACCCTATATGCGCGTCTGAAAAGTTAATTCGAAACAATTCACATACTAATCTTGACCTCGAAAAATTTCTTTCATTCACGATGCAAAGTCGCAAGTTACAAGAGCAGCCCTTATCTCTCCTAGATGGGTTCGGCTCAACACGTGAATCTTATTTTAAGTGGTTTTGGCTAGGTTTTTTACCAACCGGCCGCCTGCCTGACGTCAACCATCCATGGGAATTAGACCCAGATCCTGTAAAATTATCTATGGGTCACACAAATACTTGTTCCGGTGTACTTGACTCGCGGCGCTGAAGCCAGTCGCTTAGCAACTGCCCACAATACGTATGTTATTAACGAAAAACAAACCCTACTTCAATTATCTCGCTCTGTATTCATTTTATAATTGAATTTCAGGAGTTCCCTGACGTATCTCCGGAGCCCAAGGTCCTAAACCAATGAAATTAATACGGGATCCCAAACTTTTTTTATTAAAAGCCCCAGCTTTCGAATAAAAAAAGAAACATCCAAAACAGGCAACAAGAGGTAACGAACATAAAAAAATAATACCGTCGAATTGAGAGCCTCCTCCTTTTTCGAAGTCGGTTGAAGTACATTTGTGTGTTCAAATCTATTTTTCAACATAATACGCCGAACAGAACAAAGACGGGGTAGTCGTTTTTCTCTTCCCAGCGCTTCGTATTCGCCCGACTTGTGCTGTCTGTCTTCCAGCGCGATTCGACTAAATTGAAATTCATGAACGCAACCGAAAATTCCTTAAGTGATTTCGCCAAGACAGATTTTATATTAATAGTCGACTATAAAAAAGGGAAAACAAATTGTTCCCAGAGAGATTTATCGCTCGCAAGGAGCGATTCCAATCCGAATGAAACTAAAAAAAAAATTTTTTTTCGAGCTGTAATAAATAATAAGCAATGGCGAAAACGTTCAAGGCGTACTTTTGAAAGTACTTCGAACTTCAATGCTTGAGCTTTTTCGGTCTCCGATTTTACGTTTGATTTTCGCGTTACTCTTTTTTATACAGAACACGGCGAACTTACTTAGATTTGTTAAGTTATCATAATTATGTGTTTTACACATTAAGTTTCAGATCACCGGACTTTTTTTAATGCGACTTTATATTTAACTTTTATTTAAAGTCAAAGATTTCCCTCTTTCACTTTACCTATATATCTTACGATGTTTTCCTTCACCGCTGAGCACGTAATAAGGCAGCACTTAAAATTAACAATTTCATTGGTGGCGGCACCGGGGATCGAACTCAGGTTGCTTGAGTATATCGAATTAAAGGCGAGCGCCCGGACAGTGAGCTATCACGGCTCTTCTTTTAAATTTACGTGAGGTACGTAGAATTAAATTTGACGTCAAGATTGATTAATATCAAGTACCTTGTTAAGATAAACTATACGAGGTACATTGTTCTAGTTTAAAGCTACTCATCAAATTATCAGTAAATTTAATCAGTACTTCGTTAAGTGCAGATAATTACGTTTTAATGCATATTAGTTTATTAAATTGTGATTAATTCATTACAAAAGAAAAGTTACTCAGAAATATGTACCCATTCTCCAATATATGTGCATTTTTTTACATAGCTAAACGGAAATCTATTAACGGGATAAATCACTTATTGATACATTAAATATTATTTGACATAATCGATTTGAATACTAATATAGTGGCTCTAAAACGTACAGAATATTGGATACAAAACACAAAGAAAACATTAAAACACAAACTGTGTTAATAACCAGAAGTAGCAAGCTAGAATTCGATAGCGTTCCTGAATTTATCATTTCTTACGAGCAAAATTACTGGCCAACATTTCCGTCCACCATGGAGTGAGGCTTACACCTACCACGTGTCAAATAGAAGTTATTAAGCACAGTGAAAAAGTGGTTTCGACCGCTAGCCTTCGTCTAAAGACCTTGTCAATATATTGACAATTAACAGCGCTGTGTTCAAGAACATTATGATTTCCGATAACCGATGTATTGGAGCTTAGTGGGTCAGTACGGCGAGGGTCATCATTGTGGGCGGGGACCTCAATTGTTTCGGTGTACGATGTCATAGTGTGTATTCGATCTGCTGCGAGTATTAAGAAATTCGTTCATCTGTGAAAACCTTCACCTAACATGTAACATTGAATTTAGTTTTACTGTTTTAAGTCGAGTAGGTTTAGTGGCTGACGCCGCCTTGCAATTCTGGTGGACGAGTTCGACACTCAAAAATGTTCCCTAATTATTTTATTTTTCCGTTTAGCGGACTTATTGAGTTCAAAAATCATTAATGAAATAATTATTAGGGCTAGCTAGCTCTTCCTTGTATCTAATTTTCGGGCTCAATGAACTTGCTGAGATATATATATTTTCTATATGCTTGTTGTAATTGATGAAATTATATTAGTACTTTAAAATGTAAGGAAAAAATTGTTAGTTATTTAAATGATATGTTTAGTCTGAAGTGTTTACGAACGTAAAGAATATAATAATGTTCATTCTATAAATGATGTAATAGTAATTCTATTTTAATTATTAATTCTATAAGTAATAAGCAGTGGAAGTAGATTTTAATTGCTTATTAAAGCCTACAATTGACGGTAAAGTGCAATGTTCATAATTACAACAGAATATTTCAAAGCGAGTGTTTTTCCAATTTGTTAGAAAATACATCGTAGCGGCCCTCGCCGTAGCCCTATATTCTATAAACGAAAAAACTGAAGCTCTCTTGAAAAACGTAATTCGTTTAACACTTATGAAAAAACTAATTAATTCGAGCTTCGACGCACAGGATGAAAGTGTTCTCTAGAGTTTTTTTTTTCTATTTTAAATCATAATTCATCGTTCAAAACATGTTATTCTAATGAATTTTGAATATTTTAAATACAATTAGGGTTTATATGGAAGATAAAAATATTTTGGTATGTTATTTAACCAATTAATAAGTAATTATGTAATAAAATCAAGGAAACACGATTATATAAACTCGGCTCGTAAAATCTTCAACAATTATGATGACACTTTGTTCAAACTGTACAATCGCATAAATTTGTTGTTCTATTGTCACTTTTAAGTATACTCTCATTTGTGGTGGACGATAAAAGTGTATTCATTCAAAATTGATCTTAGTTTAATAATTTATGTGTTGTAATGACGCGTTGAACTAGTAGGATTTATCTTTCATCACGTGTTTCTTGTTTCTAGTTTGAAGAACGACGGAATACGATTTGGACCATTTACCTGCAAATGCAGTGACCGGCCGTCAGGAGCCATCTGTCGTTGATCACCGTCGCTCCGCACTGATGCGTCCCCTGGCGCCAGACACTGGCAGCCCAGGGGATTTCCCCTGGCGCGCTGTCCGACCCCCCCACAATGCGCCCCCTTCGCGCAGTTTGCACCCCGCATTCTATATCGGCAACTGTCACGAGATAACTTGATTTACATAGAAAATACTTATTCTTTCTCTAAAGACTGCTGTACGAACTATATATTAAGGGATCCTATGTACGAATGAACATTAAAACTCAGAATATTTTTCTTTTAATTAATGATATTTTTGATCTTTGTAAGTTTTTTACATTTTATTATTAAAATTATTTTTAATACAGAAAACAAATTTATTATTTATTTCAGAGTTTAAAACAGTACATACAAAAAACTGTGCATTGTAGTAAATTTTGAGGACATGTCGACATATGTATAGAGTCAGATGTCATATTTTCTATTTTATTCTTTGAATATTAATGAATTAAATATATAAATATGCTAACACTCAAAGCACGTTTAAAACTTCAACATAGGTCATTGTTTTCCTTTGTTCGTCAGTAGATATTCTTTTTGGACTCTTAATTTATAAACATTATTAAAACTAACATAGCGCCGGCGTATTGAAAACTGATCTCGTTAAAACTTTAAAACATTCATATAAAAGAAAAACTTGTTATCGATTCACTTTGTAAGACTTCCTTCAAAGAGATTTCTTTTGAAATTTTAATACAAGTTACTTACGGTTAACATAGCAAAATCCCAAGTCTACGCACAGCGCAATTAATAAGGGCACTAAAAGACGACACATTTTTGCGACAGCAAGTTATTATCTGATGATGACACCCGAATGTATTGTATTTATATTATCTCTTAACTGGGTCTAGGATAAACGAAATAAATAACGATAACGAAGGTGCAAATGCACCCACTGGTGTCAAAGTGCGAACACTACTACGTGGCGTACGATTTTCATAAGGATATTTAAGGTAACTATGATTTGTATCGAAATGACCCTCCTTCGTTTAGTCGAAGGCCTGACCCCTATATTTCTTCATAGTGATGCGCTTAAGTATGTTTTTATCGATACGCCTTCCTAAAAACTTTTTTAGTTTATCTATTAGTTTTGTTTTAACGTAACATTTAATTATAATGCACAGAAAATCACTGATCGCTATCATATAAACAGTATTAATAGATAGATTACGACCACCATACATGTATTCATTTAAAAGAAAATTGCAATGATGACGAATTATTTTAGTGTAAAAATATAATTTATTTTTGTTTAGAAAAAAATATATATTTATGATAATTGAGCCACATGGTGCAAATTGATAAGATATGCTTGATAGCTGTTATACTATTACACATGTTCATGATAACTTATTGCCTGAATAAAAGAAACGCTATTTTATACTGAGCATAATCGTTGAACGTTTTTAACCGGTGAAAATATTGCTCTCATCCAAGACAAAACTCTTATTTTTATAATTTGAATACTTTAAACCTAATACTTAGGTATTATTTCTCGAATCTGTATATCGATAGATCACATTCACATCACTTAACATATTTCATTGTCAGGTTCGCTTCGCAGCCTCGGTCGATAAGCGGCGATAAGACTCGCGGAACTGTCATTACGCATAAATGCACGAGTATTATCGAAATATTTCAATACAATGTCAACCATGAGTTACTATACCTGCCGATAATAGGGTATCCACACTATCATGGACACGATTATTTTGGAGTGATTATTTTAATTGAAAGACGTATTAAGTATCATAAATTGCAACAGAAAAGATTATGAGGATTCTACCTTTAATTTGTCTTATGTTAATTTAGTTTTTCAAGAAGGAAGGAAGAAGACACCTTACACGATCGTATATCAAGCAGGTTTGTGATATACAAAGAGCGGAAAAAGAAACGGTTTTTTATCAATTAATTATTATTTAAAATAAGGTCAGTATATTTAAAACCTGGCCGCGGAGGAAGCCTTTGCCCAGCAGTGGGACATGTATAGGCTGTTATTTTACTATACTTAAAACCTACAAATTTATCTCGGTCCTGAGCCGCCCGCATCCATCCGCTGCCCGCCACCATTCGTCGTCAGTTCATCGTGCCGCAGGCCGACCCACACTAAGTTTGCGGGATAGCTTGCTCACTTTGGGGGACACTTACGTTCAGCCTTACTTGACTTTGATTCAGCAGTGGACGGCAATAGGCTGATATTGTGTTGTCAATTTATCTCATGTTTACTATAGCGCTTTATATTAAAATTGACAAATTAATTATAGTAAGTGGAAACAGTCTGTTTGTACTTAATTTAAGAACAACGTTTCCTCCTTTAACTCAAAAAAAGATAACTTTAGTGTAATACGAGGTTTCAATGTTTTGGGGCATGTTTGTACGGGACGATTAACCCTATCGTGCACTTCATACATGGAAGCTTGCGTACACATATTAGCTTTTTTGCATGTATTTGTATTGCACGCGCATGGAAACAGGTATATTGAAAATAAAGACATTTCTTAACATTTCGTGCCACATGCTAATCCTATCCATATTTTTAGGATATATCCATTAAAAAGCCATTAACATGGTGTCACCCGACTAAACGCCTCGTGTGTTTTAGTCGGCCAAGTGCATAGCTAAGTGGAGCGAACGCCTCAGTCTCACACCGCGACTTCGTTACTAACAAACGAAATATTGGCACGCGATAAGGTCTTCCAGTTTCCAAGGCAATGAGAGCTTTTAGCGGACCATCGCTCACGGGCCTCCAACGAGAACTTGTCATTTTTGCACCTACTTAAACGGAAGTCCGAATGACACCCTCCACGGCTTTTATGCAAATAGAATTTCTGCGCCATAAATTTATTTTAGACAGACTCCGACCAGATGCCGCAATTGATTACCACACAACATGTGATGTGTTAATGTGCGATAGAAGGTACTGAAGTGTTTTGTATTACCCAGTGGTGAACTGTGCAAATAGACTTGGTGGAAGATAGTACCCTTGAATATAGTTTTTTCCAAAGAGCCTTCTGTTTTCTAGTGTTTGTCAAGAAATCATCAACGGCGGTTCACCTGTTGTTAAATGATTGCCGCCACACATGGACATCTACAACACAAGATGGCCTTCTGATGCGTTGACAACCTTTAAAAAAGTGGCCACAGGGTCACTCACCAGACGAAACGCCAAAGTTTAACACTTCCACTTCACATCGGGCTTCTATGAGGCCGTGGTACTTCCCCGGACGAGCCTGCCCATTCACAGCAACAGCATGAGCTGTTCCGTGGCCCCAATAAAATATCAATGAATATATCGAATGAAGCCAATGAAGAATCCGTCCGGGCGCCATGAATTCTGCAAAGTATTTGAAACGTCGAGGATTTAAGTTTAAGGAAACGCAAAATTGCTTCATTTAATAATGAGGAGTATACGTGTAGACATAATCAATTAATAATAATAGTTTATATCATCATTTCAGCCTGTTTGAGTCCACTGCTGCACATATGCATAGTTTGTATAGATAATTTTAATGGATTTTGCGAAGAGCTTCTGCGAAAGTAATGTAAAGATAAAGTGCAAATGATGTTTAGTATAACAGTACCTCCCTAATTTCCAATTCGCATGTAAAGTTCTAACAACAGCACGGATATATTATATTTTTTATGTAAGAGATTGGCAAGCAAATTGGTGGTTCACCTGAAGTTAAATAATAACCGCCACTCATGGATATCTGAAGCAATCTCCGGTAGAGTTGCAGATACGCCTTTTAAAAAACGGGACCTTATTAAAACTCCAAGTGAAACGCAGAATATAAAACATCCACTTCACAAAGGTGTTCTGTAACATACTTCTCTGAACGAGCATGTCCATTCGGAAAAAGCATGGCCCTATCAGCGTGAAAATCCACTTATCACCCAGTTGAATCAGCTGATGTGTAGAGTTTTATACTTTACTATTTTACTGTAGTAGAACAAAACGTCTCACATATCAGCTCCTTGTACCCAAATGTGATAGCTTGAACTGGGAAGTACTATGTGAGTCCCACATAAGATTGAATTGAAGTAAAATTATTTATTCTTTTGCGTTACATCTTCTGTTCAGCGAAGTAACCGACCCACAACCTAAGTGGTTGATATCACGCCTACAACATTTATGGTGTCATCAGTGTTCATCGCTAGCGGTACTAACTTACCATCAGGTAGAAACTATTTCTAAATTCGAATCCCTTCACATTGGTGAATCATTGCAAAAGTTATACAATTGCAATGATTCACCCATAACCGTAAACAATCTGGCATTCCGTCGAAGCTAGCGCTGTCGCGTTTGTCGATCACTCCCATTCCAAATATCGCATATCGGTCGGCCTTCCGATAAAAGTAAAAGCAAATACGGAACTGGAAGAGCGGAAAAGTTACGCCGTGTATGGTGGCGATAACTCCTAAACAGAGGTCAGGTGAAGGTCGGCGTCTGCTTAGCAGTCTGAGTTGACCCGCATACAATTAACTGCACAAAATTGCTAAGCCCACGCATAGCGGTTGGCATTGTGCTCGACTTGTACGGGAAAGCAGCCCGTATATCAATAACATTAGGATTAAAACAGCAGATGTCATGCCGTGTAGTCGCTCAGAAGCGCGTTCGTGTATAAAATATTATAGGAAGAATCGAAATGTCAACCTTATTTTGGCATGCAAAGCAATAAATTTAATATGCAAATAGTATACTACTTCACCACTGTTGTTTAATATTAAAAATATTATTATAAACTTAAAAATTCGCAGAATCGTACGGTCTCTGTAACATAATTTGCTCCAAGACTTTGAGGAAGTTGAATGATGAGAGAGGTTGAATGGAAACCTTACTGCTCTTAAACTAATGAGAATATAAAATCATCAAAAATTAAACCATAAACTTGTTTCAAACTCTCTTGCTTAACAAAAAATTAATATGGTGTTTAGGAATTGTTTATTGATGATAATATATTCCCGACACTGTACGTATTCGACTAGATAATTAACTATAACAAACGCATAAAAATTGAAGATAATATTTCAATAAAAGTAACCCTAATCTAATACTGTTTCGAAAAAGAATCCCGTGGGCGGTATGAAATGGAAGACTTCTGCATCACATAGTAATTTATTGAATGAATGAATGAATAAATTCTGTTTCATTCCTTTCAATACAATGTTCCCAAGTCACGAGTGTTCTTTCGTCTCTGTGTGGTGGATCTCATCAATCTTTAAACTCCTTTCTGCTTGACTTTCTCTGTTTTCAGCTCTATACTCTCGTTTTTAATGCACCTCTTCATATTGTTTATCCGACCTAGAAACGCGGCAGCGTTTCAAGCCAAATTCAAGCTAATAGAATTGCGAGCGGTACCGTGTGTAATATTACACGAACCATTTGGTGCGACTTTTGGACCCCTCATAACTCAAAAACTATTTCACTATTAGCACTGCTACAAATACGAGTATTATAATGATAACAAAGTAAAGTAACACCAGATACTGTGGCACAAAATAGGCCATTTTAGATAGAGTACTTTAGACTGACGGCAGAGTAAGTTATCCGGCGGGGCTTGCTTTTTCGATTCAGTTCGAAAAGTTCAAAACACCTGCTTTTAATAAAAAATAAAATAAGTTTTCATTTTAAGAAAAGACATTCGCTGATTGTCTACTATAAATCAAGCGATCAGAGATGGATTATGAACATTACACATTACACTACAAGGCACAATCAATAAAGTATAAGAAATTAATGCCATAAAATGTACATAAGGAATGATTTACTAATCT